TCTGGGTGAGAATAAGGGCCCTGTGGGGTGGGACTTGCCCCCACCCTGCCCCAGGGAGGCCCACCCAGGCTCCGGACTGTCCCTCAGAGGCAAAGGTCATGCTTGGAGTGGGAAGCCCGCAGGGCAAACTAGAGTGAAAAGCTCTGAACTCAGAGAAAAAGGCTCTACACACACATACACACACACTCACCTCCCTTTTATGTAGTGGGGGCAGGGACTTGCCCAGGTGCGGGGACCTCTGGGTCTGACCTCTAACCTCTGACTTCTCGCCTGGGGGTGGGCTCTCTGAGGGCCAGAGTCACAACTGGGGATGGGGCATAGGGGACCCACAGGCAGAGCAGAGGCGGCTATGGGAGTTAACGATTTACGAGGGGCCCCTTCCTGAGGCCTCTCTCCGCCCAGGCCCTGCAGGCAACCCGTGACTGCCCAGGCGGCTAGACACGGAACCAGTCCCGCCAGTTCAAAGAGCAGTTCATCCTGGACCCACCCCCAGGCACTGCCTGAACACCCCATTCTCTGGAGTCTGAAGGCAGAATAGGGGTTATGGGTGGGGCCCCCGATTTAAAGAGAGAGGCGGGACCCCGCTTTCAAAAGCCCCAGTGTAAGGGGCATTTATGACCCTGCTCTGGCTTCTGGGGATACCAGGTCTGTGAGGGGAGCCCCACCCCTCCACCTCCAGCAGGCCTTCCCCATGCCACCCCACCCTAGCCTGCAGGTCTTGGGTAGGGCACTCTCAGGCCAGGTTGGCTTCTGGATGCCCAGGACACCCCTTCCTTTGGCCTGGTCTGGAGCCTCTAGGTTTGGGAGGCCTGTCCTCCCCCTCAAGGCCCCTTTCAGTTACCTCTTGGCCCCTCCCTCTTCCTGACACTGGGGGCCCTAGAACCACAGCTTCATGACTGTGCCAAGAAAAACCAAGCGTTACTATCAGGGGCATGATGCCCCTCCCAACCCCCCCCCCCCACACACACAGACTGTGCTGCCTGTGCCTGCTGAGAATGGGTCCGTGTCGGGCTGTCAGTGGCAGTGGACAGCTGCGCCTGGGCAAAGGGACACCACAGTGCGTGCACATTGGCTTGGTCTCTGCTCATTCCCTGCTTCAACCAGTCATTTTGTTCTAGAACCGGGGAGTCCCCCTCTACCCTACTCCTTCCCACCCTCACCCCTCGCTGCTTACACAGCTCTGGGCCAGGCCAGGCTTGGCCCACCACACTGACTTCTCAGGCGTTGGCCTCTTAAGAGACAAGCGACTTTTCCTGAATTTTCCCTTTAGTCTCACAGCTCTCCTCTTCAAAGGTCATGGGGGCAGGGTTTGGGAGACCTAGGGGTCAATGCCCAGTTGTGACAGCTGAGCCCCTAAAGACCTGGACCCATCTCTGGCCAGTCAAGCTCCTCTCTGTCCTTGCCCATTATTCCCCAGTGCTGCCCTGGGATTTTGGCTGAGGTCACAGTCCAAGGTGACCTCCCCAAGATTATCCTGCACCCTCCTATCAGGCAGAGCTCCAGATGCCTTGTTCTCCTTCTCTGTGATATGAGCAAGTGAAAAAGAAGGGTCTCCTTTAGACCAGGTTCGGCTCTCTTTATGGGAAACCCTAACTTGACATACCTCTCTCGTTGAGCCATTTCCCACTTTCTAGATATTTAACCCACGGCAGTCAGCAGCTGATAAGCGGCAGTCATGAAAAAGGTACATGCCTCACACGAGGCCTGGGTTAAAAGTCTACGTTTCTGAGCAGATGTCCGAGCCTAACCATGAAGTTAGCATGTGCACCCAGAGCCGTAAGTGTGGTACCGCACATGTAGGAAGTGCCCCGGAAGATGCTGGCTGCAGGTTTCAGACCTATGGAAGTAGTGAGGGGCAGAGACTTGATCAAATAAAAGCTATTTTTGTCAGTGAGGTCACTGACCATAGGGAGGGACAGAGGAGGGGCCACAGAGTCAGGCCACAGAGTATAGTTGTTCACTGCTTGCACTGCAAAAAAGGCCCCTGGCAAAGAAAGCTGGAAAGACTGAGAGCCCATGACCACTGCCACAAGGGGAGGGGGGAGGTACCTCTCTCTGCCACCAAAGGACATCGCTTTCTAATTTGCACAAAGGTTACTGGTGACCCTGTAGAAATGGGCCAAACAGGCTGGCGCTGGAGGCAGAGAAGTTTCCCAGTGGGTTAGACATGCTCTAGGTGGTTACTGAGGAGATCACTAGTTGCATCTAATGGAGGCTTTTCTTCTCCAAGGGAATAAGAAATGCAAAGCCAAGGAAACTTGAAGGGGAGTTTGGGGGCATCACTAGCACTTAGGTGGGGTTTGGTGGTCAGGGCCCAGGGAGGAATGGGGTCAGTTAGGGAAGTCAGGCTGAGTCAGGGAAGGGGTCTGGCTTGAGTCCTGCAGGCTCCGAGGAGCTACTACGGGAGGTGAAACCTTCAACGGTCAGGCTGGAACTACACAGGAGCACCCAGGCCAAGGAGCTGCAGGTGGAGATGAGCCGGTTGAGAGAACACCTTTGCCAGTCTCCCTCTAGTTCCTCATCTGAAAATGGAGCTGCACTATTACTCAGGCTGATGTAAGGGTGCAGTGAGATGAGCTGCTTAGCTCACTATGTAGCACCATGACTTTGTCAGGGTGAGGGTTTCATAAATATCAGGTATGGGAATGATAACCAGGATCCAGTCACACGAATACACAGAAGATGGAGCAGGGTGCAGGGCCCTCTCACCCCCCAAAGGTGCTAAAACGTAAGGAACTTACTTCATTTTGTGAATCTAAGTTGGTATTCCTTTTTGGACGCAGGGAGGGAGGAGGGAATAGTGCCAACAGTTTTGCTCCTGTCTTTTCTGGTTCCCTGTGAATGGAGTCGGTAAGGGGCTGGCTGTCCCCCCATTCCTGATTTCCAGGCAAAGACCCACTCTCTGAACTAGGCAGACATGTCTGCATCCCAACCCTCCCCCGCCCCTGCCCCCAAGTCAGCCCTGGGGTCTCATTATTGCCTGTAGACCCATGGCCTTTGCTCTCTAGAGTTGGGGAGAGGGCAAGAGACCTAAAAAAATAACGTGCAAACCTAACAGCAATAGGTTAGGTAGATGGAGCTCCTACCTAACCGCCTGCGCCAGTGATCCAGGAATCCCAGCCTTGAGCTTTCATGCTCCTAGGACCAAAGCGTTTAGAGACTTTGCAAGACTTTCATTTGCTGGTTCTAGTTCCCTGAGGCCTGCTGCGTATTCCTGGGAAACAGGTTCTCATCATGGCCTCTGCCTCAGTATCCCCAGAAAAGGCATCAAGGTGGGCTAACAGCTCTAAACCTGGGACCCCACCTTTTTCCTTGTTGGGTCAGTGGCTATTATATTCTGGGGCTCAGGGTAGGGCCCAGAATGTCTGTCTTGAGATGTTCACTTGTCTTAAAGCTGTTCCCATAGTAAATGCCTTGTGTTTACTCATATGGGTATGTGTTGGGTGCAGGAGAGAAGCTAAGCTAGAGAGCTAGTCCTTGGTGCATAGTCAAGGGAGGACACATCTCAGCATTTGTGGACAGGGAGCGGATATCCAAGTCTGGGGTCACTCTTTGTGGCTTGGGAGGTCAGAAGGGGTAGAGAGGCAATATATTCTAGATGAACTCTGCTCTCTGACACTCTCACTGCCTTCCTGTTGGACTAAGGTCCCAAAGCCAAATTTAGAAGACATGAGGGCTCCCCTTCTCTCTCCTGCTCCTGCTGCTCCAGCTGCTCCCTGGACACCAGGGCCCCAAGGTCCGGTCTGCCTGCTTCCCTCGGAGACAGGCAGCAAAGACAAGAGGAAGCAGCCAGAGAGGTGGGAGCTGGTTTCACTTCTTCCACTGAGGCCCAGCCTGTGGCTGGAGGCACCAGGTTGCCACTGTTAACTCCCTGTTATCTGGGCCCCAATCTATCTCTGGCCAGAACGTTTAACCCCAGGCACATTTCCCCAACCACCCTGACCCTCCCCAGCTTGAGTCTGGGATGTTTTCTCTCCCTGGGGAAGGAAATACAAACCCACCCCCCAAGTCCCCCTCATGAATTCTACAGAATTGGAGAAACTTTTTCACTTTGGGATGGTCTTCAGTTTGGGATTATCTGAGGCTGCGATTTACTGCGATTCACTCTGTGGGTCTGGGAGGTGCAGCTTTAGGATCAGTTCAAACCGGGCAGATGGAAGGGGTGCTGAATGAGGGCGAGCAGCTGCAGTCCAGATCTGTGCTCATGTAGTAAGAGAGCAGGGCTGGGTTTTCCTTCTTGTTCAACCAATGTCTAGTGAGCGCTGCTCTGTGCCAGGCACGGTGTCAGGGTCTGAGTTTGCAGGCCTCGGTCTAAGACCACACTGTAGCAGTCTTAGCCGCAAGACTAAGAGCTCAGACTGGGGGCGACAGAAGAGACAAAATGTCCAGTTTCCTCATCTGTGTAATGGGGACAGGAATCCCCAGCCCTCCCCCTCTCAATGGGAAAGAATCCACGGCGTGGGGGAGAGCGCTCTGGGCAGGGTGGGGTCTTTGAACACCTAGCCCCGGGAGCCCTTAGCTAGAAATTCCCAGCTCCGCGCGCACCTGAACAGAGAGGCGCGGCCAAACCCTCCCAGCCCGGGTCGCCTCACGTCGGCTGAGGAGAGCCGGCCGAGGGACCGCGGTTTTGCCGTGAGGTGGGTCTCCAAGCCGCTGCACCCCCACAAAAGGAGGGCAGGTTCTTCTACCTTTTTTTTTTTTTTTTGGTTGTTGTTTTTTTTTTTTTTTTTTGTAAAGTTGCGGAAAAACAGGTCAAGACGGGGAGTGTTGCCGGGGAGGTGGGCCCGGGCCGACCTCATCCGAGCGCGGGGAGCTCGAGGCGCAGTGGCTGCGGTTCCGGCCTGAGAGCCTGCGGCGTCCAAGTGGCCAGAGCAGCGCTGGGAGGGAGGCGGAGGGAGGAGGGAGGGGAGTCGAGGTGGAGGGGGGGGGAGGAGGGAGCGTCGAGTCCGGTCCGGGTTTTGCCGGCAGCCCCCGGGCAGCGTTCAGAGCTCCTGCCCGGGCGGGCGCGCGGCGGCGGCGGCGGCGGTGGCGGCGGCGGCGGCGGCTTGGACGACTCTGAGTGCGGGTAGGTGTCGGGCCACGGCCCTCCCCCCGACCCCCCCGGAGGCCGGCCCCCTCCCCTTCCCCGCCTACCTCCCTCTCCTCCCCCGGGGCCCGGTGCGCGGCCGGGGCCGGAGTTCGCTGCAAGTCGGCGGAAAGTTTGGCGGCGCGGGCTCCCCCGAAGTTCAGGTGCGGAGAGCCAGGGACGGGGAAGGAGGGGTCCGCGTTTGGGAGGGGCGGAGGGCGCCCGCAGCCTGAGCCTCGGAGCCGGGGAGGCAGGGAGCCCTAGCGCCGGCGATCGCTCGGTGGCCGCTGCTATACCCAAGCCTCCCCAAGCCGCAGTCGGCTCGGTCGCAGATCACTGAGTTCAGACAAAAAGAGGGGTTTTAGGTTCGGGGACGACGGCTTGGGCGCCGTGGATGGGGGCCGGGGCTCTCCCTGCGGGGTCCCGTGCCCTCCGCGACTACTCGAGCTTGAGGTCGCTGGGACGGCGGGAGCCGGGGTCCTCACCTCTGGGTGTTGGGCGGGCGCTCCGCCTGCGGGGGCGGCTGATTGGAGATCTTCGGTGCGCACTCCCCGCATCAGGCCCCACTCGCTGCCCTGTGTTTTGGGGGCGACGCTAACTGCTCTCTCTGTGTGCCCTGGACCACGCAAGACTGAACCTCCCTCTCCACTTGGAGGGGGCGGCGGCCACTTCTACATTCCCCTCCAGCTCTTCGCCCCCGCTGCCCACGGGGTGCCTGGCGGGCAGATCAAGTTTGACCTTTTTTTTTTTCCGTCAAAGTATCACCCCACCACTGCTCTCCGCGGCTTCTCCTCTCCCTTCCTCCCCAGCCTTGGGGAGTCTTTCAGGCTGTCTGCTGAGCCCCGCGTGGCCAAGCAGCATGCAAAGCCAGGGAGGGAAAATGGGGGTGTTCCTCTAGCTGCGGAGCTGTGGGAGGCGGGTGTCCCAGGCGCCTGCCTCGCAGCTCTGGCTCCAAATTTACCCGTGAAGTTCGGCATGGAGCCCCCCCTCCCCTCTCATTCCCCAGAGCTAGGGGGCTGAACCGCCGCAAAAAGAATGTGTTAATTTTCTTGCTGGGGGAAGTTGTCCTCGCCCGGAATGGGCTGCTTTCCGGCGGGGACTGCGGGGTGCGCCTGGCTTTGTTTATTTGTAGGAACGACAGAAAGTGAGAGACCCCAGTTTTAAATGGGGGGGCGCCTCCGGGACCTGTCAGAAGAGCTGAAGCGCCCAATGAGGGAGCAAGATCGCTCCCCCCCTCAGTCGGAGGGGGTGCGCTGAGTTGGACTGGTGACATGGGCTTACAAGGAGCCACCAGCAGATTTGGGGGGTGGGGTTTTTGTAGGGACTGATCCGGAAAGACCCATTCCCTCCTCCTGTCTTCTGCGACCGGGGTCTGGAGGGTTGGCGGCCGCGCCCTACTTTGCCCTCTGGCCCCTGGGTGGTCTGTGAGTCGCGTCTTCAGATGGGGGGGGAGGGTCGGGGAGCCAGCCTCTTGACCTGCGCCCCTGGCGCTGTTTGGAGCCCTTGGTTTTGTAGTCGGCCCAGAGCCCCCCCACCCTCATTTACGCAGGAATTGCTGGGGAGGGGGGCGCTTGTGATCGCTCAGCCCTCGCCCCCGCAGGAGCCGCCCCAAGGCGGCCAGCAAACAGAGTCCCTTTCAAGTTTTCCGCTGGGGCCGCCTGGCAGGGGCTGCGTGCGCGGTCTCTGCGGACTTGTTTGGAGCGCTATTTGAACGCCCGGCGCCACCTCAGCTGCCCCCGGCCCGCGGGGGGGAGGGGGGCCGTGGGGCTGTTCATCTGAGAGCACTAAATAATTAACTGGTTTTTAGGGGGCGGGAAGGCCTAACTTGACCCCCTCCGAAAGACACCCCCCCACATTACCCTTGTTTCCAGACGCCATCAGAAACCCAGGAACTGTGACCCAGTGCCTCCTACCAAACCCCTTTTCGCCACCGAGGCGGGGAGACTAAGACCCGTGCTACCCACTACTGCGCAGTGTTGATTTAGCAGTTTCCCTGGATGGGACTTAAGCAAGAGCTGTGGGGGGGGGGAGGTAGTGACCCGCTCTGCAGCTGTCACCCCCTTCCCAGAACGGAAATTGTCCTCTCTCCTTGGGGAGGAGGTGATTTTGCCCTGGGAAGGGGTGGGAACAGCTGAGAGAGGTTGGCCTGAGTTTTCAGTCAGCCCTGGCTTTCTTGGTAGAAGTGCTTCCCTACCCCAGTCCTGACAGGAGCAAAGGTTCTCCAGGGCAGCCCCTAGTGTCAACAGCACCCCACTCTGCCTCCCTTTCCAAGGTGGGGGCAGGGGTTCCCTTGCAGAAGACCCACCCTGGGCTGGCAGGACTGTCTATTGGCGCCTTATTTATATGTGTATTTGGGTCCCACTGTTTTCCCGCCTCAGCAGGTGACCCTGGCTGGGGCCTCCTATCTCTCCCCCGACAGAGCCTGTTGACTTACCCGTGGGCCAGCGGCCTCCCTAGTCTTTATCACGTGAGGGCCTGGAATGTCCACCCGGCTGGGCTGGGCAGGGCAGGGTGGGGGAAGGGAAGAGTAGGGGAGGATTCTGCATCCAGGGCCCAGGCCAGCACAAGCTTATGTTCTGTGGACTCCCACTGTGACCCCCCAACTCTTGCTTCCTCTTCCCAGCTTTTTGCCTGCCGCCACCCATTTGGCAAGTATGAAACTGAGGCTCATAGGAATGTAGGGGGGCAGGGTTGCATTGGATAAAGAACCAAGCCTCTAGGAAATAAATACCCCACCTTCTTTAAGACCCTGCCTCATTGTTTATGGGCGGATGGAATGGAGATGTGGGTGTCTGGAAGGGCGGGGTATATAGGCATGAGGTCAGCCCACTTTCCAGGATAATGTAGAGGGGCAGGGGGTGTGGGGGGGGAATACTGGTAAGCCAGACGTAGGCCTGCTTTCTAGGGTCCACCCTCTGGTGGTGGGGCCATTTAGTCAGGACTTAACTCCCCAAGCCTGGTGTTCAGAGGCAGCTTGGTTATGGATGGGGTGGGGCTCACTTATTGTTGTTACTGTTACATTGTTCCCACTTTTTATAGGTAATTCATGTATTCATTCATTGACCCAGTGTGTATTTTTTTGAGCACTTACTGTATGGCAAGTCCCACCCCTCTGGGGGTGCAGAAATGAATCTCCTAGTCGGCTCTTATTCTGGAGGGCGGGTCCACTGTGGAAGCTCCGCCCTCTTTCCCCGCCCCCTGGGGCTCTGATTGGGGCTTTCCCGTGTTTTCTAAGGGGGGGGCCCTCCTTCTCACGCCCCCACCACCTGGTCACATCTTAGCCCTGTGTGTGTGTGTGTGTGTGTGTGCGCGCGCGCGCGCGCGCGGGGTGTCGTGTCCTTGATTAAGTGTATTAATAGTTAAACTCAAAACTCATAGCTGGAACTCACCAGACCACAAAAAGCCTCCCCAAGTTACTCACGGGCTACTGCCCAACAAGAATATCCCACTCAGGTTTTTTTGTTTTGTTTTGTTTTGCTTTCTCTTACTTACCCCTTTAGTATCCTAACCCCCATCCCTACACCTCCTAGCCCACCTCCCAGGTTGCAGGCAATGAAGAAAGGATTGCTCCCTCAAAGACTCCGCAATCCCCCATTCTGCCTGCCCTCTGAAGCCAAAGGCAGTATCAACTGCTCACTGAGGCTCTGTGGGTCTCATCTGTTGCTCTGGTAGTCTGGGTCGGGTGTGTGCTTATGACTCAGGACATGTGTGTCTGTGAATCTGTGTGTTGAATGTGTGTGTGTCTGTCTTGAGGTGTGGAAGAATGAGCTATGTTTGTGAGTCAGGGCATGAATGCTTGTGGGTCTAGGTGTGTGTGTATCTGCATTGCATATGTACGTGGATCTGTAGTATAAAGCTGAAAGTTGCATTTGTCCCTGTGAGTCTGCGGAGGTGTACATTCTGAGTTGTGTGGATTTGGGAGCGTGTGTCTTCATGATTTGTCTGTATCTGTGTTTATATGTGCTAGTAAGTCTGAGAGGGCATATCTGAGCTTGTGGACGGTGGTCTGTGCCTGTCTTTGGTGACTGCGGTCTGTGTTCCTTTTCTCTTTCTGTATCTCTGTCTGCCAGTCTGTCTGTCCAGGTCCCCCTCCCTGAGTGTGTGTAGTGTTGAACCTCTCCCATCCAGCCCTCCCCTGCCCTCCCTGGCAGTAACTGGGCAGCCTCCCCGTCTGCCTGCCTGTTGGGAATTTTGGAAGCCAGGAGGGAGACAGGCTGGGGCCGGGGTGACAGCGCGTATCCATGGCCATGGCAGCCTGTGATTAAGGGAATAAAAGGATTTTAAGGTCATGGGTGTATTTTTTTTGTTTTGTTTTGTTTTGTCCCCCTCCGCTCCCCCCTCTGGTGGAGCCAGTGGCAGCAAAGAGCCAGAGCTGTGTGTCTGCAGGTCAGGAGTATGTGGGGCTCACCTGGGAGCATGAACACGTGTGTGCATGCATGAGCAGAGCCTGTGAGACGGTGCCTTTCTGTCTGCTCCCCGTGTGTGAGTCCACAGGACTGTTTCCTCAGGGAGAATTCCCAGAAAAACTTGTTTCTGGGTGTTACATGGAGCTGGAGCCTGTGGTCTTCTGTGCTGAGGGCTGCCCGGCTCCAATCCTTGGGTTCCCATCCTCCCCCCTCCACTGCCGCTCCTAGTAGGGTGTCTCCGGCCAGAGACCTGCTTAGCTCAGGCCACATCTTGGGGTGTCAGTGCCCCTGGCCCTGCTCCAACCCCTGTAATTGCATTCTGCGCCTAATCCCCCGCCAGCTCAATTAGATCGCAAATTCTTCTTCATTTCCTGCCTCTGATGCTGGCCTCCCTCTGGGCTCTCAGGGCCTGGGGGGGGGGGGAGGGATTCCATCCCTCTTCCGCTAGCACTGGGGGTTCCAGGGGGTGTGGTTCTTGGCACTAGGGCTCTGGGGTGCAGATTGAAGCCCTGAGAGCCGACTGGACAGGGCTCCCCCAGGACTCCCCCATCCTGCTGGACTAGCCTCAGTAGCCCTGTTGTGGGGGAGGGGCCT